TTAGATAAAAACATAGACAACAATTTTCTCCTACTCACGGTGGACACACTTATGTGGAATGCACACATTGGTGATGTATTTTTCTCAATAAATTAACATCACTAATATAGCATGTTACATAAACGTTAGGCATATTAACATGCAACACACCGTGAGTAGCGGAGCATTACTCGTCAAAATGATATAGAATGTACGGAGTATTCCCGGTCCGTGCGTGCGAGATTGCAAGGGCATCATGGTGATGTCGTGTGGACGCATGCATACAGAGAATTATAGCCCTGACTGACGCAGCAGAGGAGCATATCCGGTGCAGTGACATAATAATTAAAGCGTGCGTCATCTCTACGTCATATGCGAATGAATCTTTTACTGGATATATGATGGAGGGATTGATATAGTGTACGGCGTCACCCACTTTAGCGTCCCTAGGGACGCACGAGCTGAGCCAGTGATTGGTCACACCACGTCCCCTTTTTCGCCGGTAATTAATTACAAGAAAAATCATTCCACATATGTGTCTCTCTCTATTCATAAATTAATATCAAGGATGTATGGTTCTTATGGGTCAATTATTATGAAGAAATGGTCCAACAGATTTTATTTTGCAATTAAATAATAATCCATATTTTCTTCTTCTTCTTCTTCTTTTTTTTTTTTTAAATTACAAAAGAAAATATATATGATAATGAACTTGCTTCTTTATTACAAAAGAAAATATACTCTATATGATTATGAACTTGCTTCGTAGTTAAATCTTTTGAGTAGTAAATTATGGTGAAATCCATATATTTATGTTCGAACAACTAGTTGAGCCCGGATAATGGAGTATGGAGATGGAGGATAGAATCCGGGCCACTGAGAAAAAGCAACAGCGGATGATGAGTTTTCTTGCTAAGGCTTTCAAGAGCCAGTTATTTGTTCAGCAATTGCGTGAATATTAAGTACATACACCGCACAAAAAGCACATAGAGATCGGGCAGAAGAGAAGGCTCACAATGAGCCCGGATATTGAGACCGAGTTGTATAATGTGATGAATGTATGGTAGGAGTTTTTGAATGATCATGTCATCAATGGTGATGAAGCTGATGATGTGAAAGTCGAGGAGTTGGTGGATAAGACGCCCTGAATGGGGTAAGGATTTGCAAGATCTTGTGGATCATTTGGAGTTCTCTTCAGAATTTTAATGAATCCGATTGAATATGATTACGTGTTTTAGTACATATAGCGCGTTATGTTTTTCAAGAGTTCATGCCAAA